AAGAAATAAATAGAATAGCATATGACTTGGCTTCTTCTGCTCCCACTACTGTTGCAGGAAATTCTCATCTTAATTTATTACGGAAAAAATTGCGTAGTTTAGGAGCTGATTATCTCATCATTAAGATAACAAAAATACTCTTTATTACTAAAGAAGCAAATCAGATTCAAGCAAGAAAGCGTATACTTCGTGGAATTAATGGTTATGATTGTTCTGAGTTCTTTTACCTGGAAAAGATTCAGGAAAGACTTAGCGAATATGATACTACCAAGCCTCCTTCAATGCAAAATCTAATAGACGTAATGATAATGCTATGTATGCGATCAGCAGATGTAAAAAATCTTCGTATTAACCGATACAAACCAAGTTACGAGTCATGGTATAATCCTGACTATTCTTGGTACTGTATTGGTTATGCAAAAAATAAAGATGAGGTAGAAGAACCCCAGCTATTTTTTTCAATGGAAAAAAATCCAATATGAGCAAGAGAATTACTTATCTAGATTCAGAGATCAATACCGGATAAATTTCCCTTCTTGTTAAAAGATAAGGATGGGAATACTAATGTTGCACCTCTTAATCAATTCTTAAGTTGCCATAGAATTACCTCATATATGTTAAGAAAAATAGGTGCTGATCATACTTCCAGAGTACATGGAGGTAGGAATGATTCCCACCATCAATATTTATAGCAATTGGCATGTAGACATAAAATAGGTCATGCTTCATCAGTTGAACATTATGGTGTAATGAATGACAGACCAAATACTCCAGCACCTGAACAAGAAAATAGTAAGATCAAGGATAATATCAATTTATACAGAGAAATTTTTGACAATGAGAACTAATCACGCTTCTTTGCTTTTACCATATTTATAGCAAAATCTTCATCATTAGACTATTTATAACTAGACCCAGATGAAGATGAGAATGAGGACTCAGATGCGGTATCATTATTGCGAAGCAATGGGGCTTTGCTTCTTAATAATTTCTTTTTCTTTTAGCCTTGCATGGTGTACGATTTCTTCGAAAAATATCAGGGTTTGCTATTGTGTTTATAATATCTTGCTGAATCTCGGGTTTCACTATCTTTAGTAATTGGCAAAGAGGAAATAAATAATATATAATGAATTTATATATCAGAAATTATTAACTTATAATATATTTGTCTAAAATTAATTATCTAAATTTAGTTATTTTTTCAGTTATAATATATATCATTAAATAGCTACTGTGTAGTTGCTTCTAGCAATATTTGATATGGTTTTCATAAAAACAATCGTAGAGGGAAAAATCCCAGTAAAAGCATTAATCGATACAATATCTAAATCCAATACTATTAGCAAGTGCTTGTATAATAAGCTTGAAAAAGATTATGGGTTAGAAGGTATATCTGGTGATGATTTGATAGGCAAAGAAATAAAATACTTAGATTTGCAATTTCGGTATAAAGGAAAATGGCGAAGCTTAGATGGTACTGAAGTAATAGATTTTCAAATTTGCAAAAATCCATCATTTGATTTGGTGCTAGGATGAGATTGGTTATGGATACGCAAAGCAAAAATTAGCTTTGGATTTTCTCTGGAAAATTGTAAGCGCTATGCTAAAATTGAGATAGATGATATGAGTATCCTATTAATCGAAGAAGATAGCAGACCTACAGGCGACTCTTCAAGCTATAAAGCCAGCTCTACTAAAAATAACTTATCTATTGCAGAGCAGGCCGTATTGTGGAACAATGGTACTTACGTGCCTAGATGATTCTCCGAATCATGGGACTTTGTCCCTAAATCAACAGAATCTAAATCTGGTCTAGCTCAAGAGGAGGTTATAAATATAATTAACAAAATTCTCTCAAATATCGAAGATAGACTTGAAGGGTCATTGTTTTGTAATAATAAGCAACAAAAGAAATACTGTATCATGGAATATTTCACAACAAATCTGAAACAGAGACTGATTCATCCAGCTCCGATTCAGAATCCACGGATTCAGACTGGTATAATCTCAACCCAATAAAACCTCAAAAAAAGAGGCAGAGCTTCGAATATCTGATTCATTGTATTCATATTAAAAAGAAAAAGGTTGTTTCTCCTATTCGAAAACATCATAAAAATAAGTATACCAACTGTGTCCGTATTCCAGAGTAATAATCTATCTAATCAACTATAATAACTGGTACGAGTGGAAGGTCTTTGAATCGTTCTTCAATGTGGGCTAAAACTCTTCTAGATAATATTTTCAATAGAGGTACCTCTATTAATACTTTCTTAGCACTTTTTTTAGTACATATATATACCCACATTATATGTATTAATTTTTCGCTCTTATAGTTATGTCTGTGATGAAGTAAAAATCGATACTCATTCATTACAATATCAATCATTTCCTCCTGGTCTGTTATTAATTCCTGAAAAGGCTGTTTATCTTTATCCATAATTGGGAGGCAGATTTCTTCAGGACCCGATCTAACTTTGGAGAAGCTTACGAATATACCAACCGTGCTTACCTATAAGCTAAAAATCGTCCGCAATTGCTACTGAAAATCTAGCGATGATTCTTTAAATCGAGACTTTGACTCTCCTGGCTCATACTAATTAATTCATGAATGAACAGATCGCCAAATCCGAAATTAGCTTAATAGAATCTGCAAATTAGTTTTGTTAGTCGTGAGAAATAAACTATATAAAAAAGCTAAGTATAAG